GAAACGGCAGCAAGTGTGACCGAGCACCATGGACCATCCCGTAGGAGAGCATGAGTACAGTCAAAGGATGAACCACTTGAGTAGTACCAGGAGCACGATGATGGCTCCCGCCCACGGGTGAAACACGTTGTCGGCGAACAGCGCAGGCAGCTTACCCCACACGGTGGACGGGGGGAGCAAGCGGCGCGCGTCAATCGGGAGCCGTGGTGGACCAGAAGGGGGAACGTCGACAGACGAGCAAAGGGTGTAGCACTTGCCGTACCGCATCCATTCCAGGTCCAGCCCCCGGTGGTGCCGGGGCAGGCAGGGGCCCGAGCAGCCAGAGCAACACCAGGTGGCAGTGCGGCCCGCCCTCACCAGGGAGCGCTGCGGGAGATCTGCCAGTGGTGTGTAGACCCGAGTGCTCCACGAGCCTCGGTGGGGGGGAAGTCGTGTGCGTCCGAATCCACAGGAGGAGGAGAGGGGGGGAGGAGGAGGCGCAGCCGATAGCCGCAAAATCAGTTGAATGAAAGGAGGGGGAGGCGTCGCCACAGCTGGTACAGCGAGACCCAGGCCACTGTGATCGCACCGCGCGATGCGGAGGACCTCGGTCACGGGGGGAACAGGGTGCCTGAAGATGCTGGGGGACGCCGTGTCCCAGTTGCAGGGCCGCGACGTCGGGGGGGAAGCACGTGAGGTGCAACGCGTCGGAGTTTTTTTTTCTGGTGGGGATACGCGAAGCGTCAAGAATTCGACCCTGGCCCTGCAAGATCCTGCAAGATCGGGCGCTCTGGCTGACGCCCGTTTGCATTGGCCCCCGTCTATGGGGCATATGCCGACTCAAGTGCAGGGAGCTATCTTTAAGTCGGGCCTGTCCCCCTACAGGGGGATTTTCGATGAAAAATACAAAAATACTTCAAAACTCATCAAAAATAATCCAAACATAATCTTGGGACTTTTCTTTAAAATGTTTTTTTGCCTTCTTGGGGTATTTTGGGGTAATTTTATTTTTCGTCGAACATCCCCCTGTAGGGGGACGCGCCCGACATAAAGCTATCTCGACCCTCATGCTGGCATTGAAACAACAGGACTCCTCCCAATCTAAGCCGGCTTTCAGGTCCTTCGGCAAGCTGCCTGCTCTGCATCGTGCGCGGGTCCGACAACGGCAATCGGCGGCCCGAGGATGGGAGTCTCACCGTCGCCATCCGTACACGGCTCATCAGGCGGGGCACTCCATTGTCGAGCTCGTGTGCAGGCAAGCCCTCGAGTGCGAATATCACAGCAGCGCGGCAGACAAGCAGCATTCGGAGGAGGTACTCTGGGATCTGTCGAACTACTACGAGCATGTGGACAGGGAGTAAGTACCTCGCCCAGCGTGCTGCTGCGCTGGGTTATCCCTGCTGCCTCATCCGCACTATCATCGCTTAATGCGGTAGCTCTCGTTTCGCTGCATTGCAAAATGTGTGTGTGAGTGTTGGTGACGCCTGGGGGGGGCCTCATCGCTGGGTGTGGCTGGGCGACTTACCTTGCGCAGGTGTATGTGCTCCTCTAGACCAGTGGACAAACGTGGATGTTCACGTTCGTCGCGCCACGTTTATCGATGACCTCCTTTTTGCAGTGCCATGGTAAGAAGACGACGTGGCCACCAGCCAGTTGAACATTGCCGCCCGCTCGCTTGCCGCTTGAATCGCGCACCAGTTGAAATGCCAGACTGCCTCCAAGAAGGGCCACGTTTCAGCGCCTAGCCAAAACACGCAAAGCAAGTTGCGCAAGACCCTGGAGGAACTCGCGGGACACTCTTCGGACACCTCTTGAACCAACCTCGGCATCGAGAGCGGGGCTGGGCGGCCCCAGAGGAGGAGGAAGGATAGGAAACTCTCTTAACGCACCCAGACGATCAAGAAATGCTTGGTCCGCATAAAGATGACCAAGCATGCTGGTGGTAATGGCAAGGAGCTCTATAACGCAGGTCCTTCTGCAGCCTCAGCGCTCGGCGCCGAAGCCACACGCGTCAACGATGCGTTGCTGGAGCAGGCTGGGTCTCAATGTCTTGCGGCTGCTGGTCCGAAGTGTGCCTCGCGCAGCAGAACCCTCGCCCTCCGCCGGCAAGGGAAGCCAGCGCGAGAGCCAGGGAGGAGGAGGAGGAGGAGGCGGAGGAGGAGGAGTGATGACCGAGGGGGGTGAGGAGGAATGAGGGGGAGGGCAGGACCCCCCCGTGGAAAGCTGGTCTTGGCCCCGCCCCCCTCTGGCACCGTCTGGGCTGGGAGGCCCGCGCCACGCCCCTCCCGCGGCCGTGGCCAGTCTCGGCCGGGAAGGGCCCGATCCTCCCGAGAGCTGCCATCGCGCGGGTGTCTCGACGGGGCCCCTCAGCGCTGCTGTCCTTTCCCTTGGTGTCAACCTCGCCTCGCCGTCGCGCCGCGACAGGGGTCGGAGCGCCTTCGGCGCGCGGTGGCTGCCCTGCGACGGGGGTCGACGTGGGGCTGTCGGCGGGGGTGACGCCCTCCCCCACCCCACGCCGTTTATGAAGAAACTCGGAGTAGAGTCACTTGGCTGGTCTTTCGAAGGCTCATTCAAATGTGTGGTTCCCGCAGGCCTTGTCTACCCTCTCCCAGAAATCTCCCCAGCCTACGTGGCCAAGCTTTCAGAGGTTACATGGCACGATCAGCTTGCAGTAATGCGGGATGACGATTAAAAACAAATAAAAGACTTACAAAATAGTTGTCTGCTATTTCTGCACCGTTTTCTGACTGGAGGAGAACGATTAAAAAAATAGTTATCCAGCCCGCGGCCGGTTTTTTCTAATCGTCATCCCGGGCGCCGCCGCGTGAACACGACCCCCGGTCATTTATTAATCGTCATCCTCCATTACGTGCTGCCAGAAAGATTGGTGCTCCTTATGATGTGCTTCAGGTGACAGCAGCTGTTCGAGTTGTGTTCAGTGCGCCAAACATTTCAAAGCAGCAGAAGGGCTCCCTTCTCGCTTTCACCACCCAGAGCATTTGGACTATGGAGAGAGTCCGTGCCGCAGGATATGACGTTCCCCAAGGATGCCCATGTGGACACCACACAGACGAGCTCCGACACCGTCTCCTCGACTGCCCTAAGACAGAAGAGGCCAGATCAAGATTCACCAAGGCGGGGCTTCTTAGGCTGCGTAAGCCTATCCCCGGCGCCTCCCATCTACACCTCGGGTTTCAGTTTGTGCCCACCTTTGTGGGTCACCCTCCAGACGGACTGGGCTGGAGTCGGGGGTCTTCTGGTGCCAGCAACCTGATGTAACGCCTGAGGAAGCGTTTCGGGGAGACGAGTTCGTGGATGGTAATTGCACGTGCCACGGTCCCTACCGTTTTAACGCCGCAGGATATTCTGCAGTCAGTATGCGAGATGGAGTTGAGATTGCCACCTTCAGTGGACATGTGGGTAATTAATGCTCCCAAGCGTCGGGGGCAACGCGACATGGTGCCGCTATCGCGGCTTGCCACCTGTCCCCGCAGACCGGCACAGCTTTCATCACATATTACGCTGGAGTCATGACGCTGCATGGCGGCTCCCAGTATCCCAGGAACTGTAGGCGGGCTGGTTTTAAGGTGTTCGCAGGCGACGGAATGACCCGACTCTGTGATAAGCTCTCCTAGGTCAACGCCCGCCAAACTCTCTCGGACATGACCGTGGGTAGTGACGAACATCGTATTGCGAGCGACAGCGATGCCGCAGACAGAATCGCCGATGCAGCAGCGAACCTTGGCGGCCAACCCGGCACTAGTGAAGTAGAGCGGCATCTCAGCGACGCTGCTCTGCTTAAGAAGTACCTCAGGTACGTTGCCATCGCCCTGGGCGATTGGCCCGCCATCGCGCCTAGAAGTAACAAGGCACTGGCTAAACCTGTGAAGAGCTTCTCCCCCCCCCCCCCCGGGCGCCTCCTCTGCCTTAGCCTCTTGGGACCCTGCTGGCCCTTCCTCGGCCCCTGGCCTTGTGCCTCCTCCATCTCAGCCTCCCCCTGCGGGCTCCCCTGAGCCCCGCAGGCCCCACGCGTGAACGATGGTGCGAGGCCAGCGCCGTTGCACTATCTGTCGCACTCGAGTTCGCTCGCACAAGCAGTGGCTTGAGCGAGCGGGCAAGATGGACTGTCCAGGTCATTGCTTTGCACCCTCGAGCCTAGGTGATGACTCGCGCGGACATGACCTGTTCTACTACGAGCACCTGAATCAGCCAACGAACTTTCTGGTGTGCCACGGGTGTGGCTCTCTCAAAGAGAGCGGCTCCTGTGGACTGCAGGGTCAGTGCAGGACGAAACCTCCTCATCGCGGAGCCAAGCTGCAGTTGCAGCGAGCACGGTCGGGCCACCACCCCAAGAGTGACGCTCACGGCCCTGTCGTGCCCTGCCTGCCACCGATCCCGTAGGTCCAGCTGGTGAGTGAGGCTCACAGAGGGCAGGGCGGATAGGGGTAGCCTTAAGTCGGGTCTGTCCCCCTACAGGGGGATTTTCGAAGAAAAAAAAATACCCCCCAAATAATCAAACAATAATCAAAACATAGTCGGGGGACTATGTTTTGAGCATGTTTTGACAATTTTGGGGTATTGTTTGAATACTTTTGTTTTTCGTCGAAAGTCCCCCTGTAGGGGGACACGCCCGACATAAGGGTAGCCGTCCAGGGGGGTGGCCAGCCGACCGCGTGTCGAGAGGGAGGCGGGCGGACGCGCGGGCGGGCTCGGTCGGCCCCCGACCCGCTGCGCGAACGGACGCTCCAGGCTGCACAAAGTGGACCCACAGTGCCTCCTCTCGAAGAGGGGGAAGGCAAGGGGGAGGACGGAGGAGGAAGACAAGGGAGGAGGATGTAGGAAAGACAGAGGCACGAGGACGGAGAGGGAGGATGAGAAAGCACGATGTCAAATTGTTCTGCCAGGCGCCCAGCCACCACTCCAAGCCAACAGCGGGACGTCCGCAGCTCCTCTGCTCGTCCCTGTTTAATCCTCTCTGCCCTGCCTCATCCTTCCCTCTCCCAAGCCCCTCCTGCTCTGCGCTGAGGGCAAACTTTTCACCAGCACACCGCAAGCCGCACTGAATCCCACAGAGCCCGCTGCACAGCGACTTGTCAGCTTGCTGACAGTCCGCGGCGCCGCCTGGCAGCTCGAGGAGAAGTATGTGACGCGCCGCGCACCAAGTGTCGACCAGACTTCGCTGGGACCCAAAGCGATTCATACTATATTAGGCTCGCCTCACATAGCGCCAAGGGTATCGTGACCGATCGAACCACCCACCCGTAAAGATTTTTTGTACCGCACCGATTGGATGAAGGCTCGAACTCGAAATAGGCCAAAGCTAAAAAAACGCCGGCCGGGTTAACGTCACCCCAAGCGGGCTCCGGTCAGATTCCCCCCCGGAGGCGACAGAGATGCACCACTGGAATTCCTAAAACACTTCGGTCTCGAGCACAACCCTGAGCTCCCGGATTCTATCTATCTGACCCTGAGCACCGTGCACTAACACGAAAACTTAAAGTCCGACATTCTGCTGGGGCGGGCCGCAAGCCACAAGAGCAGGCTTCAAAACGCGGATGCCGCCACACACCTAAAGCCGAGTTCAAAGAAAAGTAACGAATCTCCCCAGTCGCAGGCCAGAGGATTCATTAAGCGGGGCGGGGCGGGGCAGGAAAGGGGACAAGAAAAGAGACAAGGGGATTAAACGAAACCCGCGCGTGCGTAGACCAGCCACCGTGGACGGCACTCGCACCAAAGCCCTCGCGAGACTAGTCTATGTACATATGATATGGCAGTCAAGCTCTGCACTACATAATGTAGCCACCACGTCATGCTCCGCGTAACCAAGGCTCAAAATCCGCGGTCTCAGACGGCGTCCAAGCACAGACGTGCGGTATTATAACAAAGAAAATGAAACGACGGAATTCCATAGCGTCCCGCCTGCAATCCTTTTGGTTAACCGGCTATGGCCGGGTGGAGCCAGGGAGGAAGGAACCGAACGGGCCGGGAGAGAGACGACCGACGACCACGGAGGAGCCGGAAGGAGAGGAGGGGAGTCAGCTTTGCTAAATAGAAGTACGGAGACTTAGAGTCTCGCGCGAGACCTGAAACCCAAGACTATCGCTTGCTGCAGCTGGGCAGGCTTGGCCGGACGCATCCCGAGGAGGTTGAGGCCCGGCCGATTACTTGACATGCCGGCAAGAAATGCAAAATCCGCCGACCCTGTCGGCGTGTGTGATGGGCTTGTCCGTTCAAGTCGTCATGTCCGTCATTCGTTGGTCGTCGTCTCTGTCGTCCCCTTTCCCTGCCTCCCCTTTTCCCTGAGCTCGTCGAAACTCCCGCCTTTCCCAGGGACCTCCTCAGCGCGCCAGTCAAAGCGAAGCTGAGCAACGTCTGATTGAGTCGAAGGGAAACCCCTTCCCTTCGATCCCTCCCCCGCCGGGCTGGGGTCCCCAAGGGGGATCCCGGGGGGGGTCCCGGGGGGGGGTCTCAGGGGGGTTGCTGGGGGGGGTCCCGGGGGGGGGTCAGATACGACGCCCCCCCGGGGAGCCCCGGAGCCCAACAGAAACCCCAAGACCGATCTGTCCAAGACGCTGACGGCCTCCAGACGGCCCAAGAGGCCTGCAGAGCACCCCAAAAGGCTTCCAGGAGCTTTCCCGCGAGAGCCCCAAGAGGCAAACTCCATGGATTTCCCATACGTTTTGAACAGATTTTAGCGTTGTTGCCTCTTCCGCTTTCCGACGCGTCAAGACGGCCCAAGAGGCCCCCAAGATCGCCCCGAGACGGCCCAAGAGGCCCCCAATAGCGCCCCCTAACGGCCGAAGAGGGCCGCAAGACTGCCCAAGACGCCTCCGAGACGGCCCAAAAGGCCACCAAGACGGCTCCAGGAGAGTGCTCAAACGGGGGACCCGAACGGACATTTCGAGCTCTCAGCCCCAAGACGCCCCCAAGAGGCCCCGAAAAAGCCCCAAGAGGCCCCAAGAGGCTCCCAAGGGGCCCCCAAACTGCCCCAAGACAGCCCAGGAGAGCCTCAAATTGCCCAGGAGGCCTCCAAGAGTGCCGCGAGACGGCGCAAGAGGAGCCCTCGACGGCCCAAGACGGCCTCAAGAGAGTCCCAGGCTGTCCCAAGAAAACCTCTGGCCTCCTCCTCTTCTTCCTCCTCCTCCTCCTCCTTTCCTCTTCCTCCTCCTCCTCCTCCTCCTCCTACTCCTCCTCCTTCCTCCTCCTCCTCCTCCTCCTCCTCCTCCTCCTCCCTCCTCCTCCTCCTCCTCCTCCTCCTCCTCCTCCTCCTCCTCCTCCTCCTCCTCCTCCTCCTCCTCCTCCTCCTCCCCCCCCTCTGCTCCCCCTCCTCCAGCTCTCCTCTGCCTCCTTCTCCTCCTCTTGCTTCTCCTCCACGTGCTTCTCCGTTTCCCCCCCCTCCTCCCCCCTCCTCCACCTCCTCCACCTTTCCTCCACCTCCCACTCGTCCTCCTCCCCCTGCCCCCCCCGTTTTCATGATCGTCGTTCTCAAGGTCGGCGGCGCCGGCCGTGAGGCCTTCGCAATAACGGAGTGGAGCGCGAACCGACACCTCGAGCCCTCCGCCCCAAGATGACCCCGCCGCCGCCGCCAGGCCCCCGAGAGGCCTCCCGGAAGCTCCAGGAGGCCTCTAAGAGACCCAAATCGAGCCAAAAGACAGAACAACGAATAACATGATAGCCGGAGTGCAGTGTCCCCAAACAGGGTTTTTAAACCCACTGCGGTTTCCAAGGTCGATTGCGTGCCCGTCCAGTGCGGGCTGGCATGGCATGTTAGAACATGATAACATGATGTTTGCACATGAGATGTTTACACGAAAATTTGTGTGACGCATGCCTATCAGGAAGCTAAAGCGCTAGAGGGTGTCGTACTCTCTCGCACCTGGTCGACGAGTAAGCTGTCGGGTCGCCACTGTGAAGAGTCTCCACCACCATTATGTGAACTCGGAAGCAACTGTAAGAGGAAGCGGGGGAGAGCGCGGAAGCGGGGGGCATGTCGTGATGGCTCCCCCGGGGATGATATCGAGAGGTACGCGGCGCACGTCTCCAAAGAAAAATCGTGACGTCGGATGTCTGGGGAGGGCGGAAGGCAGGGCGCGCATGACGGATGCTGAGGCGGCAGAAACGACGACGGCGGGGACGGAGAGGCGGAGGAAGAGGCGCAGCAGTGGGAGGCGGGATGCGGGAGGAGGGAGGAGGGAAGAGGAGCCAGGCGGGAAGCGGGAAGAGGGAGGCGGGAGAAGGAATGAGAGAGGTTGTGATTGGAGCCCCTGTGCTACGAAACGTCTCAGGCAGAACGGGCCAGACCATCTCGCGCGCAACATCTTCGAGCTTCGCGTTGTGAAGATGGCTCAAGCGAAACGGACTGGACCACCTCGCGAGCGACATCTTGGATCTCGGTATTGGAAGGATGTCTCAAACGAAACGGGCCGGCCAATCTCTCGCACACGTTCTGACAAGTCCACGTCACACTCGCTTCCCGTTAGGTCCTCTCCTGCAACTCCCTTCCTTCTCCCTCCTCCTCCTCCTCCTCCTCCTCCTCCTCCTCCTCCTCCTCCTCCTCCTCCCCCTCCTCCTCCCCCTCCTCCTGCCTGCTCCCTCATCCACATCCTCCTCCTCCTCCTTCTCCCTTCCATCTCCTCCTCCTCCTCCTCCTCCTCCACTTCCTCTTCATCCCGAACGGCATCTCGGAGCCCAGAGTTGCGAGGATGTCTCCAGCGTAACGGGCTGGACCACCTCGCGCGCGGCATCTCGGTCCCCAGAATTGCGACGATGTCTCGGGCGAAACGTGCTGCGAGGAAGTCTCAGGCGAAACGGGTCGGACCACCTCGAGCGCGGCGTCTCAGAGCTCCGAGTTGCGGGGGCCTCCTGGGGCCTCCTGGGGCATCCTGGGGACCTCCTGGGGCTTCCTCCTGGGCCTCCTGGACTCCACCTGGGGCTTCCTGAAGCCTCTTTCCCAGGGGGGGATATCTAACATGTGGCCGCTTGGGTCCCTCAAAATGAATGGGAGGGCACAAGAGCAGGACAAATCAACGAATCGACACCGGATGTGTATTAACTTGACACGTTCTGATAAGGGGGCCTCCTGGGGCCTCCCGGGAGCCTCCTGGGAATCTCCTGGGGACCCCTGGGGCCTGTCCTGGGCGTCCTACGGCCTCCTGGAGCTCTCTGGCGCCTCCTGGGGCTCCCAGGGTCCCAGGGAGGATATGTAACATGTGGTCTTCTGGACCCCGAGGCTGGAACACCTCTTGCGCGGCATCTGGGAGCTCAGAGTTGCGAGAATGTCTTGTGCGAAACAAGCCGGACCACCTTGCGCACGGCATCTCAGAGCTCAGAGTTGCGAGGATGTCTCAGGCGAGACGGGCCGGACCACCTCGCGCAAGGCATCTCAGAGCTCAGAATTGCGAGGATGTCTCCAGCGTAACGGGCTGGACCACGTCGCGCGCGGCATCTGGGAGCTCAGAGTTTCGAGGATGTCTCAGGCGAAATGGGCAGGACCACCTCTTGCGCGGCATCTCAGAACTCAGAGTTGCAAGGTTGCCTCAGGCGAAATGGGCCAGACCACCTCGCGCGCGGCATCTCAGAGCTCAGAGTTTGGAGGACGTCTCAAACGAAACGGGCCGGACCACCTCTCGCGCGGCATCTCGGAATGCAAAATTGTTAGGATGTCTCAAGTGAAACGGGCCGGACCACCTCTTGGGCGGCAGCTCGGGGCTCAGAATTTGGAGGATGTCTCAAGCGAAACGGGCCGGACCACCTCTCGCGCGGCATCAGAGAGCGCAGATTTGCGAGGATGTCTCAGGCAAAACGGGCCAGACCACCTCGCGTACGGCATATCAGGGCTTAGAGTTTGGAGGATGTCTCAGGCGAAACAGGCCAGACCACCTCTTGCGCGGCATCTCGGAGCCCAGAGTTTCGATGATTTTTCAAGCGAAATGGGCTGGACCACCTCTTGCGCGGCATCTCAGAACTCAGAGTTGCGAGAATGTCTCAGGCGAATTGCGCCGGATCACCTCGCGCACGGCATCTCAAAACTCAGAATTTGGAGGATGTCTCAGGCGATACGGGCCATACAACCTCTCGCGCGGCATCTGGGAGCTCAGAATTTCGAGGATGTCTCAGGCGAAACGGGCCGGACCACCTCTCTCGCGGCATCTGGGAGCTCAGAGTTTCGAGGATGTCTCAGGCGAAACGGGCCGGACCACCTCTTGCGCGGCATCTGGGAACTCAGAGTTTCGAGGATGTCTCACGCGAAACGTCCAATCCCGGACAACTCAGAAACGAGGGTTGCGAGGATGTCTCAGGAGAAACGGCCCGGACCACCACATTTTTTTGAGGACGTCTCTGCTTTGATTTCCCACGGCCGGAGTTAGCTTCTATCACAACAGCACCTCGTTCAGCAAGCTGTTTGGGGAAAAACGCCCACCAGGGCGCCATGATAGTTTATGTTTGAAAGCATCCGCCGGCCCCCGCGGAGTTTTCGGGTGGCACGCTGGTTCCCACACCCCCTCCCCAAGGAGCACGCCCCGACCAGATTGGAACAAAGGAGGGCTCCAGCGAAGCCCTCGACGGATTCGTTTGAGGCCTCGACAAGGAGCCCAAACCATCGAAAACATTCCTGTCGTTTTCGTCGTCCTTCTCCTCCTTCTCCTCTTTCTCACTATCATCGTCGTCGTCGTCGTCGTCGTCGTCGTAGTCCGCGTCAGCGTCTTCCTCGTTCTCCCCCGTTCTCAGGCAGCGATTGAAGACAACGATGTTTGAAACGCGTTGGCGTTTAGAACGAAAAACGAAACGACGCCGAACGTTCAAAACGAACGTTAAACAACGAAATGGTATCAAACGAAGCCTAGCAACGAAACGAGGCCGCCATTCGGCGAGAAAGCAACACGAACAACGAAACGATCGTCGCAGACAACGATGGCAACAAAACGAAAAACGGAACGACTACATGGAACGATGGCTGGGGCCTGGGCAGCATTGGCTGCGGTTTTGCGCCAGCACAAAGGCGATGGGCGAGGCTCCGGCTTGTGCTTGAATCGTACGAAACGACAACACCAAACAAACTAACAATTAGCCTGACGAAATATCCAACCATCTGCAGCTGCGAGAGCCGCGAGGGAGATCAGACGAAGGAGGAAGGCACGCAAACCCCGAATAGCGCACGCGGTATACCCTCTGCTCTCATAGGCAGGGCGTCGCAGGAAAAACGAGGCGCGGGGCAGTGCGGGCAGGGGGGGAACGAGTGGGTGGGACGCATGCGAACTTTCGGTGGAGCTCCCCATGGGCCACGAAGCGTGTGAGGGGCGTGCCAGAAAAAATAAGCGGGAGGGGGCGCACGCGAACGTCGCCGCTGGGGCCTTCGGTGGAGCTCCCAATGGGGCTACGAAACGTGTGAGGGGTGTGCCGACCTGAGTCCGTCGGACGCATGCGAACGTCGCCACTGGGGCCTTCGGTGGAGCTCCCTATGGGGGCACGAAACGTGTCAAGGGTGTGCCGAGATTGGTCAGGCGGACGCATGTGGCCGCGCCACCTGGGACTTTAGGTGGAGCTCCTTATGCGGCCACGAAGCGTGTGAGGGGTGCGCCGAAATCGGTGTGGCGAACGCATATCGCCACCCCACTGGGGTCTTAGGTGGAGCTCCCTATGGGCCACGAAGCGCTGTCCTGGGTGTGGCAGACGCGAGTGGCCACACCACTGGGGTCTTCGGTGGAGCTCCCTATGGGGCCACGAAGCGCTGTACTGGGTGTGGCGAACGCATGCCGGGCACCCCCACTGAGGCCTTCGGTGGAGCTCCCTATGGGGCCGCGGGGTGGGTGTGGCGGACGCATGCGGGCACCCCCATTCGGTGCCTTCGGTGGAGCTCCCTATGGGGCCACGAAGCGCTGTACTGGATATGGCGGACGCATGCGGGCACCCCCACTGGGGCCTTCGGTGGAGCTCCCTATGGGGCCACGAAGCGCTGTACTGGGTGTTGCGGACGCATGCGGGCACCCCCACGGGGCCTTCGGTGGAGCTCCCTAAGGGGCCACCAAACGCTGTACTGGGTGTGGCGGCCGCATGCGGGCACCCCACCTGGGGAATTTGGTGGTGCTCCCTATGGGCACGCGAAACATGGAAAGGGTGTGCCGAAATGGAGGCGGCGATGTCATGTGAGCCCTTGCGCTGGGGCCTTCGGTGGAGCTCCCTATGGGGCCACGAAGCGTGTGAGGGATGCGCCGAAAATGTGGACATGCGGTGGGCAGAGACAGGGATGAAATGGGGGGAGGGAGAAGGATAAGGAAGAGGAGGAGGAGGAGGAGGAGGAGGAGGAGGAGGAGGAGGAAGAAGAGGAGAGGAGGAGGAGGAGGAGGAGGAGGAGGAGGAGGAGGAGGAGACGGAGGAGGAGGAAAACTTAAGGAAGGAAGGACGGGACCCAACACCACAAGACGGTTGGAACTTCACAAAAAAACGAACCAGGGCTGTGGCGAGGGCTACAGGGCAGAGGTTACCGCGAGAGGCGAGGTCCTTTTTGAGGCGTGTGAGAAACTTAACCAATCGAAAGAACCAACCATATGCATTTGTGAAAACCGCAATTGTGAATATCTTCTTCGGTGGCGCTCCCTATGGGGCTGCGAAACGCTGTACTGAATGGCTGAAACGCAGGGAGCAATGGCCATGTTGGGTGGTGGCGGACGCATGGGGGCGGTGCCACTGGGACCTTCCGTGGAAACCCCGATGGGGCCACGAAGCGCTGTACTGGGTGGGTGAAACGCAGGGAGCAAGGGCCGTGTTGGGTGGTGGCGGACGCATGCGGGCGGTGCCACTGGGACCTTCGGCAAAGCTCCCTATGGGGCCACGAAGCGCTGCACTGGGTGGGTGAATCGCAAGAGCAAAGAATGTGTTGGGTGGTGGCGGACGCATGCGGGCGGTGCAACTGGGACCTTCGGTGGAGCCCCGTTATGGGGCCACGGAACGTTGTACTGGGTGGGTGAAACGAAGGGAGCAAGGGCTGTGCTGGGTGGTGGCGGGCGCATGCGGGCGGTGCCGCTGGGACCTTCGGTGGAGCTCCCCATGGGGCCACGAAGCGCTGTACTGGATGGGTGGATCGCACGGAACAAGGGGTGTGCTGGGTGGTGGCGGACGCATGCGGGCAGTGCCACTGGGACATTCGGTGCAGCCCCCTTTATGGGGCCACGAAGCGCTGTACTGGGTGGGTGAAACGCAGGGAGCAAGGGCTGTGCTGGGTGGTGGCGGACGCATGCGGGCGGTGCCGCTGGGACCTTCGGTGGAGCCCCCTATGGGGCAACGAAACACTGTATTCGGTGGGCGAAACGCAAGGAGCAAGGGGTGTGCTGGGTGGTGGCGGATGCGGGCGGTGCCACTGGGGGATTCGGTGGCGCTCCCTCTGGGGCCACGAAGCGCTGTACTGGGTGGGTGAAACGCAAGGAGCAACGGCCGTGTTGGGTGGTGGCGGACGCATGCGGGCGGTGCAACTGGGACCTTCCGCGGAGCTCCCTATGGTGCCACGAAGCGCTGTACTGGGTGGGTGAAGCGCAGGAGCAAAGAGTGTGCTGGGTAGGAAACCATTGGTTTTCAATATTTTCACAGAATGCTATTAAACGGGCTTCGCGCGCGCGCATGTCGAAATCTGTCGAACGCCCTTGCGCGTGTGCCGTCGCGAGAATCCTCTGCAAAAATTGAAACGAAGTGCAGACGCGCGCGTCGTCGCGCGCGTATGCCGGAAACCTTCAACACCCATCGGTTTCGGAAGGATTTCAAAATCGCGTGTCCAAAACACCTACAAACACACAATGTTTCACAACAAAGATTTTCAACAAAAGCGTGCGCGCGCGCTCTTGCGTCGTCGTCGTCGTCGCCGTCCTCCCTCCTCCCGCGTCGTCGTCGTCGTCGCCTACGTCGTCCTCTGTCTTTCCTCGTGTTCGTCGTCGTCCTCTTTGGCGTCGTAGTCGTTTCCGTCGTCGTTGTCGCTGTGGTCGTCCTTCCTCCTCCTCCCTCGTCGTCGTCGTCGTCCGTCGTCGGCGTCTCGTCGTCGTCCCTCCTACTTCGTCGCCGTCGTCGCCGTCGTCGTCGTTGTCGTCGTCGTCTTCCCTCCTCCCTCGTCGTTGTCGTCGTCGGCGTCGCCGTCCTTCCTCCTTCTTCGTCGTTCGCGCCGTCGCCGTCCTCCCTCCTCCCTCGTCGTTGTCGTCGATGTCGTCGTTGTCGCCGTCGTCGTCCTTCCTCCTCCCTCGTCGTCGTCTTCGTTGGCGTCGTCGTCGTCTTCGTCGTCGTCGGCGTCGGCGTCGTTGTCGTCGTCGAAGTCGTCGGAGACGTCGTCGGTGTCGTCGTAGCCGTTGTCGTCGGTGTCGTCGTAGTCGGTCTTAAGAGGTTTTGCAAACCAAGTTGCGGGTGGGTGGGTGGGATGTTGGCAAGAGCGTGGGATGTGTTAAATCATGGGTAAAAATCAATTGCACCGCATGGATTGCACCACACATATTCCACGACATACACTGAACCACATACATATATCTCACCACGCGGATTGCACATAGATTGCGCACCACCTAGATTGCACCACATAGTTTGCACCCCCTAACTTGCACAACCGATGATGCACCACATACATTGCACCACATAGACGGCAGCACACGCATTGCCCCAGAAAAACTACACAATCAATACTGCACCACGTAGACTGCACCAAATAGATCTGCTCCACCTAGATTGTACAGCATGCACTGCTCGAAACGCACTGCTTGGGGCCCACGATGGCTGATGTTGTGTTTAACCTACTGTTGCAACCCCCTTGGTTTTTGCATGTTCCCGTGAACCTCGATTTGGGAATCCGTACCGCACCGAGGGAGACAGGACGAGAAAGGAAGGAGAAGAGGAGGACGGACGGAGGAGAAGAGGAGGACGGACGGACGGACGGACGGAGGAGAAAGGAAGGACGAGAGGAAGGAAGGAGAAGAGGAGGACGGACGGAAGGAAGGTTGGACGGCCGAGAAAGGTTGGAGGGAAGAAGGGAAGAGAAGGTTGGACGGCCGAGAAAGGAAGGAGAAGAGGAGGACGGACGGACGGACGCTCCACGTGCGCGCCGGGCCTCGGCCCCACGAGGAGCGAAGCGGTGGCGCCGTGGCACCGACGAATTCGGGAAAAAATCTGCAATTCGCGAATTGGGAAAAAATCTGCGAATTCGCGAAAAATATGCAATTCGTGAATTCTGCAATTCGCGAATTCGCGAATGTGTGCAAGCGTGAGGCAAGATGGATGAATAGGCGAGCGTGTTCCACTGCTCGCAGAGGAACTGCTCGCAGATGGCCTGGATCCCACGCGGAGGATCTGCGATGAATTGCATCAAAGCGGACATGTGTTCGTCGGACGTTTGCGAGTAGGCGCTTTGCGAGTAGTGGAACGCGCTCGGTGAATGAAGGAGAAGCGCCACGATGGGAGGAGGAGGAGGAGGAGGAGGAGGAGGAGGAGGAGGAGGAGGATGACGAAAGGCAGGCAAGCCGGGGTGCAGAGCGGCCTGGCCCTCGCCCTGCGCGGTGCGGCATCACGGCCGGCGCGCAGCGAAACGGCCGATCCTCGGCCGGGCAGCGTAGCATGGTTCCCCCCCCGCTGCATCCTGTCCCCCCTCCCGGGCGCACGCACGCACCCAAGGCCGCGCATCGAGGAGGAAACGTTGGCAGGAAGCCTAGAAGGAGGAGCACAGCGTTCCTGAAGGCAAGCGCAGCGCCTCAGTTGCATCCCACACGCGATAACAGATAGTGCGCGCCGCCCCCGTACACCCCCCGCTCCTGCCCCCTCCCCTTTCATCATCATCCGCATGTTACCTGGCTGCTGGAGCGCCGAAGTGCATCACGGCCGAAGGCGAAGGCCGAGCTCGAGTGCACGGAGCAGAGAGGCCCCCCCCCCCCCCACGCAGAGCAGCAGCCAGACAGGTCGGGTCTGTACCCTCCTGCTCCTCTCGCCTGGCCACCGCTCGGACGTCCGATCCCCGTGCCCTGCTGCGGTCTCGCGCGGCGCGCTTCCTGTTCGGAAATGGTCCGGGATGCTCTGGGCCTCGCCTTACATCGGGCCCGTCCCTCCACAGGAGGAGCATTCAAAAATATCCTTCTTCATATAAAACAAAAGTCTGGGGACGATTGTTTTAAGTAGTTCGACTATCTTTTCTTTTTCGTCCCAAATCCGCCTTTAGGACACGCCCGACCTAACCCTCGCCGAGGAAAAAACGCACACGTCCGCGCGACGCCAAGTTGCCGAGCTCCGGACGCGCCTCGGCAGGGAGGGGGGCACGGAGGAGGAGGAGGAGGAGGAGGAGGAGGAGGAGGAGGAGGAGGAGGAGGCGCAGGCACCGAGGCACGGGCAGGCCAGTCCGCCGCGGCCCTCCCAGCAGGAGCGCCAACGGGGCAGGCTTTAGGTCGGGCGTGTCCTCTCACGGGCGGGTTGTGGACGACACGCAGAAGAGATTCCACTATGATTCAGAGAGAAATGCCCAAAAATGCTGAAAACATCGTCCCCGGACTATTGTTTGACTCCTTGCGAGCATTCCTCCCGTGGAGGGACGGGCCCGACGTAGGGCAGGCTCCGAGGAGCAGCGACCGGGGGCCGTGGCCACGGCATGCAGAGGCACGCGGGTCGAATTTTAGCCACACTGGCGAGGCGCATCTGCCTGTCCGGAGATCTTGCTGGTGCGTGCCCTCAGGCTTGCACGCGTGGACAGCACTGGGGAAGGGCCGCCAGGGGTCCATCGCAGCGGCGGCACGATCTGCGTGACCTGCAGCTGCTCGTGCAGGGAGCGGACCAGTCGCGACAGCTTCTGATTCTCCAGCTTCAAGTCCAAAGAGGTGGCAGTCCCCTTGAGATTGTAGAGGCAAGCTACAAACTCGTTCACGTCGAGGGTGCCGCTGCCATCCTCGTCCATGATGTGGAACAATTCCCTCAAGCCAGTGCGGCCTCTAAAAAAAAGGTCCACCCCGTATTCCTCCAAGAACTTCACGTTATTCTGAATGCTCAGCAACTTGATGAAAGCATCCTCCGTGATCCTGGGGCTTCCATCCGATGAGTCCAGAGAGGTAGACGTGTGCGGCGTGTGGGGGATGTTCTTTATAGCATTCAGGAAGAATTCGCTGGTCTCGGCCACCCAATCCCTCTTTTTGTAGACGAGCTCCTGCACGTCGTCTACTCGATTTGCTGCCTCAAAGAAGACAGCGGTCAACAGATTGAGAATGCAGAAAACCCCGACGACAATATACAGAACAAGACAGCACACCAATATCCAGTGTATGCGCCTGAATGGACCTGCAATATCACCCCAGTCCCGCCCACCTGTGAGGGCCTCGAATAGCGAGTACATGCTCTCCCATAAGTTCGAAAAGTGCTGTGCGATGTAATTAATCGCCTTCAGGTTCTCTTCATCGAGTTCCTTATCTTGGATTGAACGCAAGTACTCAGTGATGAGCTGAGCTATGAGAATCCCCATCATGTAAGTCAAACCCAACAGCAGCACCCCAGCCCAGAAAAGGGGCCTCGCGCAATTTACAAGCCCAGTAACCATTATCTTCAACTCCTTAAATTCGCGGACTACCCTGAACGCGCGCATCATCCGAGTCACCCTGAGAAGGCGAGTTAGACGCAGGAAACCAAAGGTTATCACGTCTACAGAGAGATATCTGAGCAACTCCTCGGCAACAGCGGACACGATAAGCAACGTGTCCAACCAATTCCAGAAAACAGACCGATGACGTTCTACCAGGAAGTTGGCACCGCTGGCGATGAAGCGAACCGAAAGTTCTGCCAGAAACGCCAAGGCAAAGAACCCGCTGGCGAGTCGCCATGAGATATGTTCTGGCAACTCGAGGTTGGGAGAGGTCATGATCGCGTTCGCCTCAAACCCTAGGTACACGCAGTTTGCTAGAATCACGCACGCGGTGCACACAACGAAGCTGCGACTCTTGTACACGCCCTCGCAGATGGCGCGACAAGAACGGCCTTCATGGTGACGGCAAGTGAGCGAAGCAGACACAGTCGTCATTCCGAACGGGTCGCTGGTCACTGAGTCGCCATCCATGGAGGTCTCCAACTCCGGCGGCGGAGTCCCTGGCGCACTGGCCTCGCCGGGCGGCTCGAGGAGCGCCTCGATCCGGGCCAGGGCCCCCCCCTGCTGCTGGACCATCTCGCGCAGGCCTGGCTCCCCCGCGCGCCGCTCTTCCGCCTCGCGCTCCAGCAGCTCCTCCAGGCGGCCTCGCGGCGCGGCTTCGTGGTCCTGCTGCCCCCCCGGGGTGGGCGCGGCGCGCCCCCCCGAGGCCAGCGCCGCGAGGGGGGCCTGCAGCTCCCGCGTGTGCTTCTGGACCTCCTCCTCGACGCAGCCCCTCAGCTGCCGCATTTGTTCCGCCAGCAGCCTCTGCACCTGCGCCGTCATCGCGTGCTGCTTCCGAGCCTCCTCCGCCACGCTGGCCTGCAGCTGCCCCGTCTGCTCCGCCAGCATCTTCTGGATCGCCCCCAACAGCGCCTCCGACCACCAGAGCCGCTCGGCCTCGATGTCCAGCTGGGACGGCGTTTGCGAAGACCTCCTGCGCACTTGCCCAAGCGCATCGGACGCCAGCGACGACCTCCTGGAATCGGGCC